TTTTTTTTTTGATGAAGGCTAGGTGAATTTTTCAGGCATTACATTCTTCTAATATTGCACCATATTATAGAGTCCACACCATTAAATGCCCAGTTTTCTTGTTTCAGAATTTGTTCATTTGTATGAGTAGTCGCTCTCCAAAATTGCGATTTCTGTTGGCTGCGGCCGCGATGCGGAAGAACTGTTTACCAAAATATCCAAGTACAGAAGAGAATTTGTGAATGTGTGTTATTGAAAAAATAGTGTGTGTTTGTTTACAAATATACTAAAAAAAATCCAATCTAAACTCAAAATCTAACTCCTTTAATTTAACTCAACAATTCTCAATATTATCAATATAATTAAATAATATCAATCAATCATTTATACACATCACATCAATTTTAATTTTTAATTTATTCACTCACATAATTTTAACTACTTATCACTTCCAATCATTCTACTTTTACATCAAATTAATTTTAATTATTTCATTTTAAATACTAAATTAATACAAATTTAGGGGTAGTCGATTGGGAATTTTCTAAAGATTTTTTAAGACTTTAGAAATTCTGGTGTATTCAATTTAGATTTTTTAAGACTTTTAAAGGTCTTGAAGCATTCATTTGTGGTTTTAAAAAGTCTAGCCGACCGCCGCCTAACGTGCCCGCAATCACCGACCAAGCCGACGACAGTCCGACCAGTGTTGCCGGTCGGCTGTGTTTAAAAAAAAAATTGTCAAACAAAACGATCATAAAAAAGGCGGTAGATAGTAAAAAGAGATACATTGCTCAACACTTGGAGCCCACGAGTAGTCATCAAGAGGCAGGAATAAATTGTTAAAAGTGGAAATAAAAGGGAGATCCAAGATTAGATACGTAAGCCATCAAAGTGTGTGCTGCATATTTTATAATCATCAAGACAATTCCCTAACCAAGGGACGAGCATTGTACATTGTGTGGGAATTTTCTTTTTAGAGATTTTCAAGGATATCAAAGTCAGAAAACAAGAAGCAGTCCACCAATAGGAGCTTGACACGAGGCGTGTGTGTGTGTGTGTGTGTGGGTCCCACAATCTGATAAGTTTGTTCCTGACAACCGGTCTAAGAAAAGCTTGAGAGAATTCAGATCGGTCCAAATATAAGCCTAACTCTAACCTAGGCCCTAATTTTTTAGGATCTGATTTGATCATTTTGTTCATATCCTCCAAGTTAACGGTTGTTTTCCCTTTTTATTTACATTATATTTTTATTTTATTTTGGGTACTCAAAGTCTTCTTAGATTCGTTAAGTAAAACGAATCAGAAATCGTGCTCGAGCTCAGTTCGTTGATCAATATTAACGAGCCAAGTTTGATCCGATATTGAGATTTAACGAGTCGAATTATGAAAAATTATATAAAATTTCTCTTTTCGAGCTTTATCGAGTTGAACTGAGCCCGACTCGTTAACGAAACGAGCGTTTTAATGAGTTCGTTTCGTTTGACAGTTTCAACCATCCCCATCCCTACATGTTACTCTAGAGTAGTTAATGCCAGA